TGCACAGGCCTTCAGAAATGAAGACCCAAAGATCCAGGGAACACTTGCCTTAGTGCTTCAGTTCAGAGAACAAACAGCCATATAGAAATGTGATTAGACAAAGGGTGTGATCTGATAGTATTACTGTTTCTTTCCATTAACCTCACAAGTATTGGAATGGTGAATAAGCAAGAAGCAGGGTATATTGATTCAAATCCATTGTCATTACTGCAAAAGCAATTTAAAGTATATATCCTGACATGTCACTAGTGACATAGTTTATTAACATTCCTTCTCTTGACCTTCATTTATAGACTAATTTTGCCAGGCATGGTGGCACATACCTAGCTCTTGGGAGGCTGAGGCAGGAGAATTGTCATGAGTTTGAAGCCATCCTGGGCTACAAAGTAAGTTCAAGGCCTGGCTGAACTACATAGCAAGATCCTGCCTCAAAAAAATTAGAAAAAAAATTGGAATAATTTTAACTTGAAATCCAAACAGTAACATACACTGATTGATAAGAAGAGCATTAAGAATTTCTCTGAAAAGTGCTTAACGTTTCTTTTAGAAAAGGAACTCTAGAGATCTTAGCTAGAATAATAGTAACAGTTTTAAAAGTGTGCACCAGCTGTCCTCTTGGTTTGGGGCAACTTTCAGGATTATGTCAATCTGCTTTAAATATGGGTTTTATAACTACTGCATTTTGTGTGTTTGGTTCAAAATTAAGAAACTCGTGGTGGAGGCCCTGCCCAATGTTGACCACCGCCAAGACCTGCACAGAGTTGTGTTCTGCCTTTCCTCTACTTAAAGGAAACCTGGGATTTCTGTTTTGTATTTTAAGTTTCTGTTTCCTTACTTACAAATGAAGATAATAATACATGTGTCTTAATACACCTTGGGCAATGAGATAAGTCGAAGCAAATAAAGGGATGAGTACATAGAAAGAGCTCAAGGGTTATTCAGAACAAGTAAGATAGTGTGCTCGTTTCCTTGCTCTACTCTTTCTAGTTCTAATTTGAAGTCTTTATTTGGAAATAACTTCAGTCAAGATAATCTGTGTTTAAGAACAACTAACCAAAAAAGAAAAGAAAAAGGCCTAAAACCTTGTTTTGCACTTAAGACAATTTGATGTGACTCTTCCTGCAGCGAATTGGCAGGGTAAGTGTGTGCTGGCTGAAATGTCATGCTGTTACCTTCTGGCAGCTCATATGCAGATGCTATTGTATTAATTACCAAAGAAAGACTGACTCAGAAGTCCTTTAACTGTCAGTGAAGCAGCTGCTCCAGCTCCGAGATAGGTTTCCTTCCTCCTAACTACTGCCAGTCTACAGCTTTTAATCTCTTCTTTGGAAATTGCTAAGACTGTACGCAGAGCCCCAGGGTAGTTCAGTTAACTTTTTGATCTGCAGTAAGCCTGGGGGGAGCCTGCATAATTAATTTCACATATACTTTAAAGTAAAATAAAAACAACCAGATGAGCCTGCTGTCTCCCTTACATCCTTCCTCTTTCAACAGTTACAACAGAATTTAAGATCCGAAAAGGATGTCAATATATGTACTGTCCAACCCTCTCAGTTTACAGATGAACAGTTCAAGGCCCAGAAAGAAAGCAAGTAGACTGCCAGTGTCACTGCGTTGGTCAATGGTGGAGCCTGGGGTCAGAATACGCCCTCACTCTGGTGTGTTCTCACTTCCATGTTGCACACCTTGTCACTGAGCTAGCTCCCAGAGGAGCAAGCTTTTCAGCATTTCTATCTATGTCTTGGTTCAAATCTTATAGACATGTTGGAGATTAATGAAAAAACAAATGATTTGTGGGAGAAACAATATACTTGGATAGTGATTACGGAAAAACATAGCCAGGCATAGTAGCACATACCTGGAATCCTAGCTACTTTGGAGGCCAACACAGGAAGATCACAAGTTCAAGGCCAGCCCGAGCAACTTAGCAAGATTGCCTCACAATAAATAACAAATCAATAAAAGGCTGGGGATGTATCTCAGTGTGAAGGCCCTGGGTTTAATCTCCAGTGCCTTCACATACACAAAAAAAGATTTGGGGGTATAGCCTAATGCTAGAGCACTTATCTGGAACTGGGTTCAACCTTCAGTACCACGAAATAAAACAAGCCAGAGATAGTTAGTGATGTCCACACCAAGGAGCTTTCTTCAGGGCAGTAGGCTCTCCCAAGGAGCCTTTGGAGTGCTTGGAAACCGAGCTGAACTCAACATCAACTCCCTTCCCTACTGCACTGGTCTTTATTGTTTTGACAGTAGGAGGTTTATTTGTAGTGACTGTTTTTGTAGGAGAGATGGGGCAGGGGAGGTAATAATTTGGGTCAGGTGAATAATGGGGTGTGTCAGCTGTGGTTCAGGCTGATGCAGCATGTTTTACTGGCTTTCCTTAGCTGAAACTTAGTTTCAGAGGGGTTTGGTTTCTCCTCTTGGTTCTGAAGTGGTGAAGTGGTGAAGTCCCCCAAAGCTCATTTAACTTTGTCACTTTTTAAAAAATAATTATGTAACAACTTTTAGTACAGGAATGTGAAGGTTGTCAGTGTGAATTGAGCTCTGGGAGGACAGGGAGAAGAGGAACGCTAGGAGGAGCAGAGGAAAGTATGGCTGGGCTTGTCACTGCCTCAGCTGAGAGAAGCTGGTTGCATTCTGCAAGGTAAGTGAGTGGAGGAGACCCTGCTCTTTATTCATGTCTTCTCACCAAGCTGAGTTCGTTCCTCTTAAAATAGTCATACCGTGCTTTTTGAAATACTTTGTGGATTCACTTTTGGCTTTCTGTAGACAATTTTCCACCATAAGTGGGTTCTTACACAGAACAAACAGGTGGATGATTTTAAGCATAGACTGTGTGTCAGTCACTGTGTTGGGTGTTAAGGATACAGGCAGCAGTAGGATGGTTCTTTGTATTTTTAATGATTATGAATAGAAAATGAGAATGAACTGTGATAAGCCTATAATTGTGAACAGGTACAAAGGATAACCCGTTGGTACTTGTTAAGTGCTCATGCAGACAACTACCTCTGCACCTGTGCTTTTAGATGGTAGGCTAGAAATTAGATCAGTAGCCTGGTGTTTTACTTTTTTGGGATGTGGAATACTGGGGATTAAACCCAGGGGCTTCACACTGAGCCACATCCCGAACCCTTTATTTTTTGTTTAGAGATGGGAGTATTGTTAAATTGCTACATTGCCCAGGCTGGCCTCAAATTTGTGATCCTCCTGCCTTAGCCACCCATAGTACTAGGATTATAGGCATGCACCATCACACCTGGCTTGGTGATTTACTTTTGTGCTTAGTAAAGAAAGAGCTAGGTGCTCACTGAGTACTCTATATTCACTTTTTCAAGGGAGATTCTTTCCTGGGAGATTCCCTTGGTTCTGTGTCTGATTTGCTAATGTGTGTGTTCAGGCTAGGGTGGTACCCTTAAAGGCAGACATGAGAGCAAGGAGTTGACTGAAGTGCAGAGAGGAGTCTGGTGGAACAAAGACTCTTTAAATTCTTTTGGCAGCACCATTTGTGAAAGAGAAGAAAGCCTCAAGGTTTGAGAATGCAGGTACATTCTGAAGTAGAGCCACCTTTTAGTGAATCAGGCTTCTTGTTTCAGTTACATGAGCAACATAGTCAACATAGAAATGGCTTATGGTGTAGTGACTAAAGCAAATACTATTTCACTTAGTAGTACCCCCAAAACTAATTATGATGTTGGGTTTAAAGATTGGCCTTTGTAAATCTTAGATGGAGGCGACTGTGGTGCTGAAGAAGTGGAAAAGGATTAAAACTATACTGTAAATTAGAATTAGGACACCAATTTCTAATTCTTTTCCCCACACGAGGTTATCATATTTTAGGATACTTTTTGTTCTTTTTTTCACTATTGTTTAAATCTGTTTGGGGAAGCTTGCCAGTGAGATTAGTTGTGCTTGTCTTGAAAGGATGATATTTTCTGAGACAGATCACATCTCTTTTTAGATATCCCCGGATTTTTTTTGTTTTTGTTTTTGTTTTTGTCTTTTTTCCTTTTTATCGGTACCAGGGATTGAACTCACGACTGCCTGCTTGCAAGGCAGGCGCTTATGCCACTGAGCTAAATCCCCAGCCCCCTGTATCCCCAGATTTTATCCCAGAAGTTAAAGACCTTTGTCTTACTCAGAGACTTGTCATCAATACATGGGAAGAATGAGACTGGATTAGGAATTATTGCTCCTAATTGAGTGCCCAATGATTTAGCAGAGAGATGAACTGAAAATACTTTAGAGCTCATGAAATCTTGCAAACCTTTTCATTCCAGTGTATGTACATATGTACAGATCAGCTGAGGTATTTAGTTAGAAAATATGCCATAAGTGAAAAGTATAAGCTAAAACTGCATATGGTAGAGATATTTAGAAGGGTCATGTATGTTTATGTGTTAGTTTTTCTGTCAAAAGGGGAGATTTTAATTTGGACACATTCAGGTGTGACTTAGCTTTGGACTTACGTCACATTACTGTCTTTTTTTTGGTGCCAGGGATTGAACTCATGACCTCATGTTTGCCAAGCAGGCACTTACACCTGCTGAGCTAAACCCCCGGCCCATTTGTTACTGTCATTTTAATGTTCTTGTGTTTGTGACAAAGTCCTTGTAACTCCATAGGCCCTCCTCCAGTGAATGAAAAAGGACGGTGTGGGCAGGGAAGATCAGGTCACTGCCACCTTTCTGGGTAGAAATAACTTCTTAATGCTTGGGGAGAACAGCTCTGTTTGATATTTGAGGAACTTTTTCTGACTGGGATATTTTCCTAATATCTTCTTTATCTGAGAGTTTCTTGGAAATGTTTCCTCTAGAACAGTGATGAGACGATTTTTAGAGCTTTCAGCAACACACAGGCCACTGCAGTACATGTGCCATAAGTTTACCACCACTGCTCTAAGACCCTGACATTCTAATGGATTCTCTATGTGGTGTCTCTAACTCTCCCTCACTCTTTTTTCTCTACTCCTTTCTCCCGCTTTCCCCTTCTCCATGCAGGCCAGCTGAGCTGCATTTCTTTCCCACCTGAGGAAGAGAAGTACCTCCAGCAGATTGTGGACTGCCTCCCCTGCATACTGATTCTCGGCCAGGATTGTAATGTCAAGTGCCAGCTATTGAACCTGCTGTTGGGGGTGCAGGTGCTTCCTACCATCAGGCTGGGCACTGAAGACAGCTGTAAGCTGCGGCGTCTCCGCTTCACCTATGGGACTCAGACTCGGATCAGCCTGGCGCTCCCTGGACAGTATGAACTAGTGCATACACTGGCTGCTCACCAGGGAAACTGGGAGACCATCCCTGAGGCGGACTTGGAGGTCCAAGGGGACAGTAAGGATGCTGCTCATGTTTTAGCTGAGCTGGAGGTGACAGTGCACCATGCCCTCTTAAAGGTACCGATCTTTACTCATACACCAATTGTACACATATGTGCCAGCTTTGCCTTTATTCTGACTTTATGAAAAAGTAGTTTGGTGATATTTACTCTAAACTCTAGCAGCAGCTTCTGGAGTCAGAGAAACATAACCTTGAAAGTTGAAAAGAGACAATATCCCTGCCTCTGCTTGCAGGCTTCAAGGCCCTAAATACTTTGCTTGTCTCTTCACCTCTTAATCTCTTGTTCTGAAAGAAAAAGAATATGTAACAATTACATCTTGACAGCTTTTACAGAATAGCTGTCATCAAAATGTAAAACCTCTTTTAATTTCTTAGTAGGAAGGTGTTGCTGGAGTTGTCTCTAGCCATCCCTTTGTGAAAGAACAAAAAGACAGTGGATAAGTAATGTTCTTACTAGAAGTGCTAGCAAGTGAAAATGTGTGTGACTTTGCCTTAGACCTAGCCGTGAATTTACTGAGCTGGCCAGCTCACTGTCTCAGTGTGAGGAGCCACATGTGGGCCAGTCATCTTGGTTTCTCTCTTGAAGTAAACTCCCAAAGAGAGCACAGGAGCTGCAGCATCTCCTCACAGATGGTACTGGGACGGAGTCCTCTGTCTTTGGGGCCTCCTTTGCTACTGAATAGGTTTAGGCCACCTGACCAGATCAAATGAGATCTGTGAAGGATACACTGTGTTGGGTCAGGAACAGACAGGAATGAAAGCGCAGTCCTGCTCGGCACGGGCAGTTCATCACCTCGGGCCTCCATGTCAGGAAGGATGGGCTGGTTTGGCAGTGCTTGAGAGGGCATTTGCTCCTTCCCTGTCACTCCTTTATTGGGCCTCTCCTAAGAGAGTGGTTTCCCAGACAGTGAATGGGTCCTTTGGCTGTGGCATGGCCCAGGAGACTCTGAAAGTGGAAACTGCCTTCTCATTTCCTTCCACAACCTTCTTTCATCTTGACATGCTAGAGGGAGCTGTGCAACAAGGCCCCTTCTTCACTCAGCTGAGTTTTGGGGCTAGGTTTCCTCTGTGTTGAGACTCAGAACTTATACTTTGGGCTCAAGGACAGTGTGAGAATTGTCTAGCAGTAGTTCTTGTTTATTGACTGAGGCCTGGTCAGTGGACCCATGAACTCCTTCACAGTATGTCACTGTTTGATTCATACACAATCTCTGTACTACACTGCGGCATTCTAATTCCTTCAAGGTTCCAGTTATTTAGCTTTCAGAAGTTTTTAGATTTTAATTCACTGCCATTCGCCACAATGTGGATTAACCTGGAGGATATTATGTTAAGTGAAATTTAGCCAAACAGAGAAAGGAAAATACTAAAAATATTATGCAGTCTGGCTAATAGTGGGATCTTAAAAAAGAATGAAAACAATGGTTCAGGGTACAGTGAAGAGGTGGAGGTCAAGAGGAGGCGGAAACAGGGAGATTGGAGGTTAAGGGGTACAAAATAGTAGGTATTTAGGCCTGAACAAACCTGGTGATGTAAAATCCAAGGTGTGGGCTATAGTTAATCAAACTGTGAATAAAATTGTGTTAGGCAGTTTTGTTAAATGACTAGATTTTAGCTTCTTATCACAAAAAACTGTGATATGATAGATGCGTTGATTAGCTTCACTATAGTAACCATTTGATTATCTGTATGTATCCCATTATATACTGTATTCTTCAAATATACACAATAAAATTTCCTAAAAAGGTAAAAGAAAGACATATATGTACCTACTACATGTATATGCATATACATCTATGAGTTTCATGAAGCAACTTATACTTCCGCAATGCACACTGATTTTCTTTTCCTTTAGACTTATTTTTTAAAAAATGATGGCAGCAACCCACTAAATCAGTGCTATGACCTGATCACTGTGACCTGCTGCTTAAAAAACACTATTAAGTAGCTGAAATGTCTGCTCTAAGCTGGATGGTGATTTTTTCCTGTTCTTGCCCTAAAATTGTGGAAAGAACAAAGCCATCTGTAGCAATTACTTGACTGATTTCTGAGTGTTCCTTTATTTAATGGGTTTATCTGTTCTTCCTTTTTTCCTTCCCTCCCTACCCCTCTGTTTCCTTGCTTCCTTCCCTCCCTTCTTTGCTTTCTTTTTCTCTTGCCTGCCTGCCTCCCTCCTTGTCTTTATGGTGCTGGGGATCTAATCCAGAGCTTCACGTATGCTAACTGCCACTGAGCTATACGCAAACCCTATACGGCTTAAATTGCTTGTTTGCTTTCTCTCGCAGCAAGCACAAGTTTTTTTGTTTTTGTTTTTTGTTTGTCTTGATACTGGGGTTTCAGGGAAGGGGCTTTGTATTGAGCAGTATCCCTGACCCTTTTTTACTTTTATTTTGAGACAGGGTCACACTAAGTTACTAAGTTGCCCAGCTGGACTCTGGGAGGCTGGAATCAGCCTCCCAGAATGGTGGTGTTACAGGTGTGTGCCACCATGCCTTTACTGGTTTAAATTTCTGCTGCTCATTTATTTTTGTTCCATAAATAGGAGTGATACAAGAAAGTGAAGCAAGGAAAGACTAAGCTGTTCCCCACGTGCATATCTGAGCACACATCTTTCTACAAAAGCTCTTAGGCCTGCTCTGAATATGTGTGTGCACTAAGAATGCAGATTTGATGTCACAATTCTGGAGACCACTCGGAGTTACGTTATCTAGTCAGCTTTTTCTTGGCACAGTTCTAATATGGATTCTTGCTCTTCTTGAGGAATTCTCCAGCCTCTCTTGTTGTTTCATGTGGTTTGTGAGGCTTCCTTTACCAGTGCTTCTCCGGATCTGCTTTATTCTTTAACAGATTTGATGTAGAACTGGTGACAGACCCTACTGGTCTAAGTTTAGAACCTCTTGATGCTAAGCCACAGAGGGCCTTTGTGGGATTCAGGTCCTTTTGCTACACTCGGTCTCTTGTCTGTGAAGCAGGTCAGAGATGCTCAGCTTACTCCAGGGAGCAGTACATAGCTACCTGGGATATCGTTTATGCCAGGGAGAAAGATCTTTTCATTTAGCTCCAGTTATATTTAGGACCAGTGAGTTCTTGCAAAATAGCCCTTGTGTTTGGTCTGTAGAGGGGGTGGTAACTAAAGGAAATCTTTGACTAAAGGAAACCAAGATTGAATTAGGGGAAATAGGATGTTCGTTTTGAACTGTCAAATTATCAAAGAAGAATTTCCCCCTGCCCTCTTATACAATGGTTATTCTTCTAAAACATTACTTTAAAGTCCTCATAAATTAGCTGTTTCAGTTTATTCTACAATAGACCAACACATAGGGACCCACATTGCTTGGTATGCCCGGCTTTTTAGTTGCAGACCCCTTGAGATTCTCAGCTATTAATTCATTAATAGAGGAACACTGTCAAGCTATTTGTACCTGAAACTCATTTAGTGTTAAAACAGTGTTTTTCCAATTGGCAACACATTTCATTATTCCCCGTATTCCCTAGCTCTGTCTTGGCATAAGAAAGTGTACTTCACTTTCACTTCTCTTTCTAGGCCTACATCCACTCCCTCTTTTGTATTTCTTCTTACAGATCTCATAGAATTATTGTCAGCCTGATACTTGCTCCATCTGCAGAGAAAGAGAGAGAGAGACCTGGGTTTTTTTTTTGTGAGCACCCATCAGAAAAGGAATAAAATGCAGCAGCGAAGATTCCATTGCTGAACTCGAGGTGGGGCTCCCATAGCCTCATACTGGAGTTTCATTCACTGTGACAGTTGTGCAGCTTCAGGTGTTTTGCTCTCATCCATAGATTGTTTATCCCACCAGGTACTTTCTGATCCTTTGGACAAATACACATGTCCTCTGATAGGCACACTGCCATACAGCTCAAAGGGGTTATTGGTTTATGGTGCTGTCTGGTGGGATTTCAGGAAACTGAGGGAAGTTAATATTTCCAGACAAGGTCAGTGACTTGTAAACAAATGCATTTTTAAAATATTTTTAAACTGTAGTTATGGTAATGAAGTTTTCTCTTTATATCCTTCAATTAATAGCAGAACTTGGTATGATTGTATATACCTGTAATCTCAACTAGTTGGGAGGCTGAGGCTGGAGGATCACAAATCTGAGGCCAACCTGGGCAGCCTAGCAAGATCTTGTCTAAGGAAAGAAAGGAGGGATGAAGGAAGAGAGGGGAGAGGGGAAGAGAAGGAGAAAGAAAGGAAAGAGAGTAGAGGAGCGGGTAAGGGAGGGAAGGAGAGAGGTTTCTTACTGTGTCACTCATTCCATGCCACACCGGAAGTCTTTTCTTTTATCTAACTTAAGTCCTTCCTGTTCCATCCAGCTAGCTTACAGTTATTGTTTTGTTGTATTAGAGACTATTTTTTATAATTCCTTATGACATTTTTGTAATAAAATAAGATATATTATACAGATGCATTATATACATGTATCAGTTCCCCACAATGCATGTAATCATTATGTACTGCAAACATGAACTAATAAAAATTTTAAAAATACAGAAGTATATAAAGCTAAAAGGTAAAATATTTCTTCCTTTCTCTTTATTCTATTCTATTCTATTTTTCTTTTTCTGTTCTCCATGAATCTAGTAAGTGAGAAGAGAATAAAGCTTCAGATTCCCATTTTTATTTGCACCTGTGGATACCCTGGTGTTTGTCTATCCCTAAGGTACATGCATAGAGGCTCCTCAGTGCATTCTGGTCCCCTTGTCTGTTACCTAACTCAGTGCAGTTTGAGATAATTTGTATCATTAAGATTTTGGGTGTTTGAGATTGTAAATATATTTTCACTTTTACTTTTATGGCCTTGTGTTTTCTGTGGCAAGTTTGGGACTGTTTATAATTATTTTTTTCCAGGTCTTGTGTCTGGCCTCTAAGTTACCACATGATGTTTTTAACAGATAGAGAGATGAGCTTGTGCCTATTCTGTGCTGACTGCTGAAGTAAAGTTCTGGGTTGACTTCACATTATTCCCAATTTTTCCTTTATTTTATTTGTAATACTTGGGATCAAATTTTGGCTCTTGTGGGTTTCATTTCACTTTCTTATGAGGTATTTTACAACCTTGAAACCCACTCATTTGCAGTTTCCCCTTGGAAAATGTTTGTATCCAGGAGAGAGTGGAGGTTTTGCATTTTTTACAACATAGCACCAGTAGGTATTTTCAGTAACATGTAACATATTTAAGGAGGAGTTCAGGACACTGTATAAAAAAACACAATAGAACAGTTGAAAAGCAAACAAGAAAAACTTGTCAAGTGTCCTGTGAAAACAGAATGAGAGAGAGTTGGAAGAAAAGCTGACTAGGATATGAGGACTTCGACTGAGCTCAAGGGCATGAAAATTGCTGAGCAGTTATTTAGTTATGCACTTTTTTTCTGTGTGACGTCAATCTGAGGCTGTAAAATGGTGGAGAAAACAAAGATATCTGCTACCTTTCAAGTTTAGCTTGAGTGCGTAACAGTTTTTGTTATCGTCAGTTAATCATCAGTTAATGTAATCACCCTTTACTATAACTGAACTTTAGTAATGTGCTGTGAACTGTAGAGTAAGGAGTCCTTACTATAAGAAGAGCTGATATTCTTAGGAAGCCGTCAGTTTTCTTCAGTGATAGATTGCCTTTTGGGATTTAAAACAGTGCTATTTATATAAAACATAAAACCAAATTTGTGTTATTCTAGTGTTTGGAGAGTAGCAAGCACACTTCTGTTGCATTTACTTACTCCTGCCAGGAAGATCCCAACAGATCAACTTCTGTAAATTCCATAGATTTGTACTGAATATATTTTTTTAAGGCTCTTGTGCAGAATGCATTCTGTAAGAGAAATTTCTTTAGGAATTTCTGTGGTTCACAGTAGAAACTGAGGATATACTCATAATCTGAGATTTTTTTTCTTTGATTGAGTTAGGACCAAAATGCTTGCTGCTCATTCTTGGAGTAGAAGCAAACAGCAATTTCAGAAAAAATGTGTGGGATAAAATGTGTGGAATGTAGGTTGAAAGAGAACTTTTTGCATATGATTAAATGTGGTTATGCACAAGTAGGGGAGGTATCACTGACTCATTAATTCATTCTCTATGTTTACTGCATTAGGTTCTGGGAAGAAGTATGGATTTCCATGTCACAGAGTCAGGCTGGACTTGGGTCTCACATAGCCTTTACAGGTTCCTGGCCATGGCTCATCCTCTTTGCATTAGTTATTTCACTCCTTGTTTCCAGGAGACACTGCTGGTTTCCCTTTTTGTTTATAACCGTCACCCATGAGTCACCATGAATATTGCAGAGTTGCAGATCACATTCTGGTGTGCTGCTGTAGGATCTTAGCCTGCAGTTCTTTGCCTGTCTTCTGATGGTCCTGATAGAGCGGGGAGACAAACTGCGTAAGTGAATTAACCAAAGAGGGAGAAGAAAGAGCACAATACCTGTTTTATATCCATTTTTCTTTAGTACAAGATATATTTAGATATATTAAGAGTAGACAGCTTGGGCTGGGGATTTAGCTCAGTGGCATCAGCATCTGCCTGGCAAGCATAAGGTCATGAGTTTGATTCCCAGAACCCCCCCCCCCCCAAAAAAAAAGAGTAGACAGTTTGTTCTTAGTTGCCAATATATTAGGCCATACTTTTATGGTTAGAAAGCTCTAAATCTACTTTTTTATGAAAAATGAATTTTTGCCTATGAACAAATAAAGCCAACCTTTTATTTTATTTATTTATTTATTTATTTTGTCTTTTTGAGACAGGGTCTTGTTGTGCATTTCAGGCTGACCTTGAGCTCACTTGTAACCCAGGCTAGTCTCAAACTTGCAATGATCCTTGTCCCTCAGCCTCCCAGGTTCTGGGGTAGCCAAACATTTCTTTAAAGAGGTATTGGTCTTACAAGTGGCCTAGAGGCTCGGGATGCACCATTAGTCCTTTGAAAAAAATCTCAAAATTTATAGAATTAAAAAATAAAAAACTGTATCAAATGAATAAAATTCTTCCTGAAAATTTTAAAATATTTTGATTTTGAATAGGCTTTATTCTCTTAATAATTTGACTGATTTATATCTTTTTAAAATATATTTATTTAGGGGAGTTTTGGAATATAAAATTTTTTTAGCTAGATGAGGTGGTGCCTACCTGTAATCCTTGTACCTGAGGCAAAAGGATTGCAAATTTAAGGCCAGTCTGGGCTATATGGCTAGTTCAAGGATGGCCTAGGCTACATGTGAGTGAGAGTGAGAGTGAGACCTTGTTTCAGGAAACAAAACAACAAAAAGTTTCTACCTGTAATTCTCTATTATTTTCATTTTTCAGATCCTTCTTAGTTTTTATGTAATTATTACGTATGCAATTTTATGTTTCATTCTAAATTTTGAAATTTCTTACCAACTTTTTGGAAAGCTCTGAAGTTGTTGACACCTTAGTGTGTGTGACTCAGGGTCTTGAAAGAGGTTATTGTGAACAGCAAGATGAGTGTCAAACTAGTTTTTTAAAATAGGACACATTCCCTGTAATTTGTGGCACAGATGAAATGCAAACTTCTCTTAGCCTGGGATTTGGTAAGAAGAAGGTACCTTACCAATCCCAGGCTAAGAGATTTATGCAGGGATAAATCCCAGATTTATGCAGGGATAAATCCCAGATTTATGCAGGGACTGCTCAAATTACAAATGAGGGAATAATAAAAGTAGTTTAGTGTATGGGAGTTCCAAGTGCCAGCCAAATGAACAATCTACCTGCAAATAAAGCTTAGTTCTTTGTTGGAAAGGTGAGACCTTTGTGCTTTGCTGGGAATGGAAAAGATGAAGAAAACAAGAAACAATACACATAACGCCAAGTGTCAGTATCAATGGCAAATACATGCTAGACACAACAGGCTGGTATTTCCCCAGTTCTTTCCTATTGAGTGAAGGATATCAAAAAGGAAAAGGTTTCAGGATTTTATTTTTTTTTAATCTTTCATCAAAAGTACTTGCTGCAGGGGCTGGTGATTTAGCTTAGTGGCATAAGCACCTGCTTTACAAAGTACACAGGTCGTGAGTTTGATCCCCCGGTACCAAAAATAAACAAACAAAAACAAAAAAACCCTGCTGCAATGGGACAGTTATTTAGCTCACTGGTGTAAGTGCCTGCCTGTCAAGTGTGAGGTTGTGAGTTTGATCCCCGGCCCAAAAAACTCTTAGCATTAGGAAGCATAAACAGACCAAGTAACCAAAGTACCTGTTGCATAAATAATATAAGGATCAAAAGTAGCTGTTAGTCAAAGAAAATAAAGTTATGTATCATCTAGATTTCAAATAAACAGTATTGAGTTCTTTTATAACTCTTATGAAGCACACTGGAATGCTGTGGAGGGTTTGGGTTTTGTGAAGACATGAAGAGATGAAGACATGAAGAGTTTTGTGTGCCACACTAGGTGATACAGGCCAACTCCCTGGTCCCCTTTACATGAACAGTTTCAGAGATATGAGGTGCAGTGGATAGAAATATATGCTCTTCAGTGTTTTGCAACTCCTCTGCAAAGAAGTATAAAACAAAAGCAGGAAGTATAGGGAGAAAATGGACCTGTGGAAGGTTTGTTTCTAAACCATAGGTCATTCTGGAAACTTGGGAATATCAGACAAAATTAGATTCATTCATGTGTAATATAGATCACCACAGAAAGGAACTTTATTTGTCAGAGGTAAATTTTTCTTCCCTCATGTAAAGGGAGTCTTCAGCTAGGCAGTAGAGAGCTAGTGTGACCGCTTGGTAGGTGGCATGGATCTAGGCTTCTTCTCCTTTAGTGGTAGCCCCACTGTCAGGTTTGTAAGATATTGTTGCTGTGGCTGTGATACTGTGTTTGAGACAGGAAGATGAGCAGAGTGAAAGGGCATACTTCCTTGTGGAACCCCTACTCCTCCGCTATCCCAGAAAGTTCTTCTGGAAGCCCTATTCCATCTGTACAGAGCATTGCTGTTCCAAAATATATAGGCTAAATATTGGCTAGGCAAACCTTAGTTTCTGCCATAGCAAGTGATCATATTGTTAAGGGTATTACCAAAACTTAGATGGCTAGACTTTGGGATACCTGGAAAATTCTAGAACAGGCAAGTACTTATGTTTAGTGAATTTGGCTTTTAATTTGCTGATAATTGATTGGTTCAACAAGCATTGAGGATGTATGTGCTAGGCACTGGGGTTACAATAGTGAGTAAGTCAAGTATGGTCCCTCCCCTCACAGAGTTTAGGCTAATGGGAAACAAAATGGGTTTTAAGTAAGTAAATTTTAAATACGTTGTATAATAATAAAGGGAAATCAAGAGTGCTTGGGATTGTGTGACCAGAAACTGTTAAGAATATGATAAGACCTACACATTGAGATTTAAAGGATGCTTGGGAACCAGATCAGAAGTTGGAGAGGAGGGTATAAGAGGAGGAGGGCATGAGGGAAGGCATATTCCAGGCAGACCAGCTTTGTATTATTTCCCTTTTCTCCATTATTTTTCTTACTTCTTCATTAGAGGAAGTCAGTGAGAATTTCTAAGATAACAAAGATAGTCAGGGATTAGGTCTGAAATGGCTAAAGGTACTACATCCTTTCTATTTGTGTTTTGCTCTCTCAAGTTGAGTGCCTGCCTCCTTAGGCTGCACAGGGAGCATTAGTAACCAAGGAAGGAAGTGGGCAGATGATTGGGCACACTACAGTCCATCTCCAGCATGGATCTGGATTTTGGTCTCAGTGTGGGATTTTGGGAAGGCATTGATTGGTTCTGATCATGAGGTTCTGATATGATCCCATTCCCTTTCCAGGAAGTGGACATTGTGGTGGCACCTTGCCAAGGCCTCCGGCCCGCAGTAGATGTTCTGAATGACTTGGTGAATGATTTTTTGCCTGTGATAACCTATGCACTCCACAAAGATGAACTGTCTGAGAGGGATGAGCAAGAGCTTCAGGAAATCCAAAAGTATTTCTCCTTCCCCGTATTCTTTTTCAAAGTGCCGAAGATGGAGATAATAGATTCCACTACCAGAACAGAGAATGAAAGATCACCTTTGTATCGCCAGCTAATTAACCTGGGCTATCTGAGTGCCACTCACTGGAACTGTGGAGCCCCTAGCCAGGACACTAAAGCTCAGAGCATGCTGGTGGAGCACAGTGAGAGGCTGAGACACTTGAGCACTTTTTCTCACCAGCTGCTGCAGGCTCGTTTGGTGGATGCAGCCATGGCCCTCAACCTGGTGCACTGCCACTGCCTAGACGTCTTCATTAACCAGGCCTTTGACATGCAGCGGGATCTACAGATTACTCCCAAACGGCTGGAATATACTCGAAAAAAAGAGAATGAGCTGTATGAATCACTGATGAATATTGCTAACAGAAAGCAGGAAGAAATGAAGGATATGATTGTTGAGACTCTTAACACCATGAAGGAAGAACTTCTGGAAGATGCTGCAAACATGGAGTTTAAAGGTAAGTCCTGGAGAGTTTGATGGGGCATGTGGCTTTAGGAACCTGCACTCTATTCCAACTCAAAATTGGTTACATTGATTCTTAGGTTATAGTAGGAGCCCACCTTAAGTCATTTAGCCAAGGCATTGTGTCTTGCTCTTAGTGACCTTCCTGGGAGATTCCACTGCCATTCTTCATTTAGTAGTAACTTTTGGTAAATTCATCCTGTTAACTGTCTAAGCTCTACTCTCCTTATGTATTCCTCAATGCCATTGAGCTGGAGAGGAGCTGCTTGAAGAGTTTTCCTATACCCTGCTTTAACCTTTGCTCTGTCAGTATGGCCCAGGAGTCCTTATCATTTATGTTTTAGCAGTGCTGGGCATCAAACCCAGGGCCTCACACATGCTAGGCAAGCACTCTACCACCGAACCACCCTCATCTCTATGTTTTTATTTTCAGGATCTTTTTCTTCTCAGACTGCCCCTGCAACTTAAAAGCATTCCCCAAAGTAACGTCTTAGTTCTTCTGGTAGTTCTGTTGTTCACAAATAGCTATTTGGGCAAAAATGACTGGTCAGGTCCTTTGCTATCTGAGGCTTAGAGGCTGCTGACTTTGTATACTGACTGCTGTCTAAATCTCCAGGCATGGACATAACTGTACTATCTATTAATTAAATGGCACAGTTTGCAAGTTACTTTTTAGATCTGCAGCCATGGGCATACTCCAGATCACTTCCTGAAAATACTGGTGCTGAAGACCACTAAAGACTTTTTTTTGTGTGTTTTTCATTTTTTTATCGGTACCAAGGATCGAACTCACGACCGCCTGCTTGCAAGGCAGGTGCTTATGCCGCTGAGCTAAATCCCCAGCCCGACCACTAAAGACTTAATCAGGAACTAACATCAGTGTTTTTCAGAATCTTTCTTAGGTGGATTTTGCTTATTTTCATGTTTTAGATGATGGAGTTAAGGCTTAAAAGGGTTAAGTAAGAGCTAGTAAGTAGCAGAGGGAGGATTAATCTAGACAGCCTAGTTCCTTAGCTTGTACTTTTAATTCCATGTTTTACTATTCCCCCAGCTCCCATGCGGGGAATTGTACCCAGGAACTTCTCATTGAACTTCATCCTCAGCCCTTTTTTAAAGAAAAAAAAAAAGATTTTTTTTTTTTTTTTTAAATTTTGAGACAGGGTCTTGCTGAATTGCAAAATCACTCAGATTGGGCTCAAACTTGGCTGTCTTGCTTCAGCCTCCCCAGAGTGTGGGATCACAGCTGTGTACCACCAAGCCCAGCTTTTATTCCTTCTTAATTTGTTCCCAGTACTGATGCTACTACTTCTGGTTCCCAGGTTCAAACCCTTCACATATTTTTAGCTGTCTTTTTTCCTGTGTCCTCATGTCTAATCAGTTGCCAAGTACTATTGAGTCTTCTTGCAGATAGTAGTACATATCCACTTGTGCTTTTCCATCACATCTTTTAATTGAACTTCTGTTACCTAATCAATCACCCTGTCTTCTCTTCTTTCTGCACTCTATTGGCTTTCTGTTCCTACAGGTAAGGTTAAACTCGACCTAGTATCCAAAATGTTCCAAAGCCTAGCCCTTATCAACTTTGCCAGTCTTATTTCTTATTATGCACTTTCCTATAATTTTTATGTGGGTTGGTTTTAAATCTTTGCTGTCTTCCATACACTCCCTTCACCTTTTCTTTGCTTGTTCCCTTATTTAAGCTTAAAAGTCTTTTATTTTTGAATTTCCGAATCCTACCTATGTATCTTTCAAGGCCTTTCCAGGGCCTGTTTTAAGTTTTTAACTACTAACAGTTGCACTTATCTGAACTACAGCATTATCTATATCAGGCAGACCCAAACTCTGTGTGTGTGTGTGTGTGTGTGTGTGTGTGTGTGTGTGTGTGTGTGTGTATGTGTGTGTGTTGCACTGCTGAGGATCAAACCAGTGCTGTATAAATGCTAAGTAAGTGCTATACCATTGAGTTTCAATGATGAGCAAACTGGGCCATGCTAGTAGACTCTTTAATGCAGTACAATTTGGGACATGAATATGCTGGGAACACCAGCCATCTAGTTATGTCATACTTATAAATATGAAGGAAATGGAGTTGATTTTAGCAACGATAAGCTGCCCGATTTCGTATAAATCTTTCTAAAGATGAACAAGATATATCTTTTAGTAAATTCCTGTTGTAGGGGTAAATTTCACTTGCAGTGAAATTCTAGGAAAGCCTCTTATGTTTAGGTAAGGACACAAGCATTAATGCTGCATCACAACATTTGTGATGAAGGAAAGTCAAGGCAGCTAGGTTGGGCAGACAAGGAAACACTCATCTGTATCATATCAGGCATATCATTTGGTGCCTGGGTTAAGGTAGTTAGCTAAAGAGACATGAGGGCATCTGAGAACAAGTACACAAGTGTGTGATTGTCAACTGCATTGTGGGTTTGGGGATCTACTTACCTAGGTGGGTATATGTTAGATACAGCTTGCATGTTTGGTTCTACCTTGTTCTGAATCTGTTCTGAGCACTCTTGGGGCAATGATAAGTATATTTAAAAGAAGGCTACCACATATCCTTTGGAGCCAGATTTCTATTACTGTTATCTATCTTTAAATAAAGGTGGATATATGCACCCTGGGTAAATGATAAACATAATTTATAAAATATTGATTTTTTAAAAAATGATAAAACATGCATACATGGTACTTAATTCAAAATACAAAGACACCCCCCCCCCGCTACTATCTAGCTCTCATGTTCTTTTACATCCTGCTTTTTCACTTTTTCAGTGTATATCTTAGAGCATTTTCCAAAAAGGAAAATATAAGTCTGTTTTCTTCCAATGGACATACTTTGATGAATATATTTAGTTGGTCTCTTACTGATGGGCATTTGGGCTCTTTTTTTTTTCATTTTGCTGTCACAAAGTATATATATTGATCATCATTGTAGGTACATGTCGGAGGATGCATTTCTAGAAAGAGAATTCCTAGAAGCAGATAGTTCAAAGGGTGTGTGAATTTTTCCTTGTTGATCTAAAATTTTGGTAGATAACTGACAATTTCCCTCTGAAGAGGTGGTATCAATTTAAGTTTCCACCAGTGAACCTGACAGTGCCTTTGTAGGGGTGTGATCATTTTTCATTTGAATGTTTCTGTCTTAGTTACTTTTCTCTCATTGCTGAGACAAAATACTTGATGGCCAAATTTTTTTTTTTTTTAATTTAAGGAGAAAAAGGGAAAAAAAAAGCAGAAAAAGGGTACAAGTTATACAGAATTTCAGAAAAAAATAAACAGTAGGAAGTCACTAATTAATGGATTACATATTGTCATCTTAGAAATATTTGTTCAAGTTACAAGATTAAAGCATATAAAGTGGACATTCAAACAGTGAGCCTGCAAACAGTTCTGTTCAATGATCCAACAAAACTCAGTAATATCATTGTCTATCTTATATATAGATATACATGCAGTTATACCATTTAGAGCACTTTCTTTTCCTCTCTTTTGTACAATGACTATTACACATTTTGGGTTTTATTGCTCCCACAGTTCTTATTGCTTTTTTTGGAAGAGAGTAAAACCAAATGTGACTTAACAGAGTCGGTTAAATCAAAAGGGTGGACATAATAGATGATGTAAAAATTTAATACAAGGTGATCAACAATGGTTACCATAATTCCTCCCGCTATCTCAAATAGAATTGCCTATATCATCAGTTATAATAAAATTGAACAAAACAGTAAAGAATGAAACCAACAAAACCAAAACATTGGAGACATTACAGGTCTTCAAAAGTAGATAATAGTCAACCAGTATGGGCTTGAATCCCACTATCTTCACAGCTGTTGCCTAAACTTTCGAACCTGGTACTATCAAGCAAATCAGAATAGAGGAACATCAGTCAAAACAAGATGGTGAGAGCAATACAGGGCTTCAAATCAAGTTAATAGAAAATCAAAGTGGGTTACTATAATATATCCTGCTATTTTTAAATTTATTTTTCCCTTAATTAAAAGGATAAAAATAAAAAATAATAAAATGGAGACTGAGATAAAAGAGGGCATAACAACAAAACAGCACAGATCAAAACATAACCATTTAAGCAAAATAGTGTTTCACCACAAGATAATCCCGACATGAATGACAGTCTCATAGGGTACTTAGAATCAACTAACAGATAATGAACTATGGTTTCTGTATAATCTCCTTGTCTATAAAAGTTTTTGTTTATACTATCACATATAATAAAATCCAATAAGATACAACATGTTAAGGCCTATGGAGACAGAAGAACAAAGGCTTGATGGGACTTCAAAATAAGATGATACCAAATCAGCACTACCTATTATGACGTCGTTTTTCTCCAAAATAGCTGTTCCTATCATCCAGTCTTCTCTGCCTCATTTCTGTTGAGCTCTTTTTCTGTCATTAGTTGTCAGTTTGTCTTCTTCATTTTGTTTTCTGCTCCATTCATTGTGGCCTCTCTGCCACTATTTCCTGATTCTTTGTATTTTTCTTTTTTAGAATATCCTGCAGTATTCTCTGTAGAGTTGAATTGGTGGTTGTATATTCCCCTAGTTCCTCTTTATCCTGAAAGCACCTTGTTTTTCCATCAATTTCCAGGGATAGTTGTGCAGGATATCTCAATCTTGGCTGGAGGTTATTATCTTTCAAAGCTTGAATTATTTCCCCCCACGCTCTTCGTGATTTGATAGTTTGTGCCGAGAAGTCTGCTGTAATTCTGATGGGTGTTCCCTTGTAAGTGATTTGTTTCTTGTCTCTGATGGCTTTTAATATTCTGTTCTTATATTGGATTTCTGGAATTTTGATTATTATATGCCTGGGTGTAGCTCTATTTGGGTTGTAGGTAGCTGGAGTCCTGTATGCCTCATATATCTGAGTATCTTTACCGTTTGCTAAATTAGGGAAATTCTCTTGGATTATTTCTGTGAATAGCTTTTGTAGTCCATTTGTTTGTGTCCCCACTTCTTCTCTTATATTCTGAAGTTATAGACCCTCTTATCATCTTCTAGTTTTTGTATTATTGCTGTTTGTTTTTTTGTTATTTTTAAGAAGTTTTTCATTTCATGCTCCCATATTACAATTCTGCCCTCCAGTTCAGATAATCGGTCCTTAGTTTCTTTCAAGCTGTTATGCCAGTTTTCAATAGAGTTTTTAGTTTCCTGGTAATCTCTTTGAACCTGCTTCACGTATTCTACGTGTTCTCTATTTTCTCCATCAAATAATTCTCCCCTCTTTTTCTGTTCTTCCATTCCACCATCTGCTTTTTCTTGAGTGGTGCTTAGCATTTCTCTGACTATTCTGCTTATGTCTTTCTTCAGGTCATTAATAACTTCATTCCTGAATTCATCTATGAGGCTCTGGAGGCCTTTTATGTCTATTGGTGGCGTGTCTGCTATTGCCTGTTTCTCAAGATTCGGGGCTGAGGAGCCTTTCTTGTTGTTCCCTCTTCCCATATTCTTTGTTCCTTATATATGCAAGCATATATAGGAGACCCAGCTTCCTTCCCTGTCAGCCACAGTCTGATTGAATTGCACCGGCTAGGTGTTCCCGCCCACCACAGCACACCTGGGAGTTACAGACCTGGCAGCCTATGTGGGGCTCGCCCCTTCAGGTCACCTTCAGGCGCTGGGACCTGGGTTGTGCTAGCCTACTGGGTCTCAGCCAGCAGCGCACGTAGGCTAGGCACTGCTCACCAATCCTGCTTGAGAGGGGGATATGTGACTGAAGTCATTACAGTGCCCTGTTCCAGCAAGTCTGCCCGGTCCCAGAATGTCCTCTGTTGGCGCCTCCTAGACCGTGGGAGAGTCCCAGTTTCCCTCACTCACCGGAGGTCGATGCACGGCTGCCTGCCCGCCCAGCTCTTAACTCCTTCACCAGTTCCTGTTCTCAGAGCTTTCGCGCATCTCTCTCCCTGCTGAGCTGATTCAGATGCAGCAGTGGCGGCAGGAAACGCAAATCGTGGCTTCCAATGGCGCGGGCTCCAGCTTCCACACTCAGGCTTTATCTGTTCCTGTTATAGCACCAGGATTGCATTCCCAGTTGGTATCTCTCAGCCCAGTTCGTTCTTGGGTCAGCAGGGTATATCTCCTCTTGGTTAGGATTCCTTACTCTGCACGATTCCTGGATTCTAAGCTCGGTCTCACAGAGAGCCTGCATAGCTGTTGCTATTTGTCCGCCATGTTCTTTCAAGATCTTGATGGCCAAATTTAAGAAGAAAGGTTTATTTAGCTCATAGTTTGTAGAAGTTTCAGTCCACAATCATCTGGCTCCAAGGCAAAGTGGCATGGCACAGGGGCAACAGTAGACAGCAAAAGAAAGACGAGCAAAAAAGAGAGAGAACAAGCCTCTTTTCCTTCCTTATATGCAAGCTACCCACCCCAGCTGGGTTCAGCACTCATACCTTCTCCTTGCCTCTTCTTGTACAGGCTCATGATGCTTACAGAGTGAGGACCCTGGCCCCCTACTGAGTCACTTAAACTTCTCAAATGACAGAATGAACAACGTCTTAGCGCAATAAGGGCATGTCCTCTACACTGGAGGATGTAAAATTGCTGAGTTGGTTATTTAAGCATCTAGATTTCTCAAGTTGGCACAATATATTAACCATTATAGCTTCTGTCAGGCTTTTTTTTTTTTTTTTTTTAATTTTGTGAGGTAGTGACATGGTAGGGCCAACAAATGAATTTTGCTTTTTATGTATCTAGTAATTGATCAGGATAAAATTCCTGAGTCCTAGATTCTTCTCATTAATATGCTGGACAATGTGATAATTTACAAACTTTGGAATCAGTGAGATTTGGTTTCAAATGCTAGCTGTGTTACTTCTTAACTACATGTCCCCTTCTCAGTACTTATTTTGTCTCCAAGCAGAGTTATTGTGAAGTTAAAATTCGTTACGTGTATTTAGTTTACATTCAATTAATATTTTCCTTCCTTCCATAAATGTGACTTAAAGCTAACAAAATCAATGTCTCATTTTAAACAGAACCGCTTCTCTTAGGATCTTATCTGCCACAAGTAGTTCTAATTGTTTTTTTTTGGAGACAGGGTCTCACTTTGCAATCCAGGCCTTGAACTCACTGTATATCCCAGTCTGGCTTTGGACTTATTGATCCTCCTGCCTCAGTCTCCCAAGTGCCAGGATTACAGGCATGTGCCACCATGTCCAGCTTGCCCCAAGCAATTGAACCTTAGTGGTCTCTGGTCATGCTGAGGGTCAGAGTTCATCAACCAACCATGTCTTTTTGTAGCCATCCTCATGGCAGTTCAGTGGCTGTGTCTCAGGAGATACCTGCCCCTCTCCTCACACTGGCCAGCTCGTTTCTCTGCCTCCACAGATGTCATTATCCCTGAGAATGGAGAACCAGTAGGCACCAGAGAGATCAAATGCTGTATCCGACAGATCCAGGAACTCATTATCTCCCGGCTTAATCAGGCAGTGGCTAACAAGCTGATCAGCTCTGTGGATTACTTACGTGAGAGCTTTGTTGGAACCTTGGAGCGTTGTCTGCAGAGCCTGGAGAAGTCGCAGGATGTCTCAGTTCACATCACCAGTAATTATCTCAAACAGGTATGCAAAGAATGGTTACCAAGATACCTTGTCACAGACTGCAGTTCCAAACAGTTCACACACAACCCTCACTTCAAAATTAGCCAAAAATTTCTCTTTTAACTTTTTGCATGTCCTATCTGAATTGTATTGGTTCCTATCAAATGACCACTGCCTGTGAAAGGCGTTGGTGAGCTATAAAATATGACAGTTGAGAAACAAAGAAGTAAAAAAGGTCTAATTAGTCATAAAATAGATGAACAACTTGACTTGATTCTGTAGTATACTGAAGTATAAATTTGGAAACCTTGAGACTGCTCTGTATTCTTGAAGTAAATATTTGTTGCCTTTTTAAATAGTCACTCTACTAAGGGCATATTCTTTTTATGTGTTCTCTTTCAGATCTTAAATGCTGCATATCACGTTGAAGTCACATTTCACTCAGGGTCCTCAGTTACAAGGATGCTCTGGGAGCAAATCAAGCAGGTAGGTATTTGCAAAAGAAAAATCTTCCATTCCTAGTTGGCCCATGTGTATCCTAGTCACTGCAGTAAAGAACAGAGACCTAGGAGCTGCTGTTAATGGGTGTCCATGGGTTCTGGTTGGCCTGCCTGGAAGAATATGGTTTATGTCTATTCTCAAATAATTATTAACAATGCTCCTTTAACTCATAAAGAGTGGTGGGGTTTAAAATGATTTTTCATGTAGCCATAGGACTGCAGTTGCTCCTTCATATTTCTTTTTTCTAGGCTAAATGTCTCAGAATTAGATGTTGTCATTGCCAGAGGCCAAGAGTATGCTTCTTATCTGGAACTGGACCTGAGTCTTACATAGTTAGTCACTAATTTCAAATTTAGGCACTTCCTGACACTGAATTTAATTTACTGTAGGTTTGTGAGCAGGTATAGTAGGTCTAGTGTTCTTCCTCTGGCTGAGTCCTGAACTGGAGAGAACCCTAAACTTTAATTGGCATCTGTCTCAGGAGCCTGCTCCTGATGAGTACATAGCCTGGGAAAGGAGGGCATTGTTGGGCCTTCTAGTAGTTTCTTTCTCCATCCCTCAGTGATCCCACTGTCCGCATCTTGACAGATCATCCAGCGTATTGCATGGGTAAGCCCACCTGCCATCACCCTGGAGTGGAAGAGGAAAGTGGCCCAGGACGCCATCGAGAGCCTCAGTGCCTCCAAACTGGCCAAGAGCATTTGCAGCCAATTCCGAACTCGGCTCAATAGTTCACACGAAGCCTTTGCAGCCTCCTTGCGACAGGTTGGTATGTGGGAGATACACCTGAAAACGCAGAAAAGAGCCTCAGCCTTAGATGGATGTTTGTGTGTGTGTGTGTGTGTGTGTGTGTGTGTGTGTGTGCGCGCGCGTGTGCCTGTAATCCAGCATTCTGGGAGGCTGAGACAGGAAGATCACAAGTTTGAGCCTGGTCAAGGCAACAGTGAGACCATATCTTGAAATTAAGTTTTCAAAGGCTGGTGATCAATTCCTATTATCACCAAAAATAAACAAATAAATAAAAAATCAGTGTATTTTCTACTGTGTTAAAACACAATGAGCATGATATTGTGTTACAGAAAATTTCATCAATAGGTTTTCATGTGGATATTTTTCTAATTCTAAGAGGAGGCAGCTCTGTTAATTTCCTCCCCACTCCTTCACTAAGTGAGAAAAATATAGAGGAAGAGGAATGTAGTTTATACAATATTTTAGGCATGAATGGCAGAAAGGGATGATTTTCTAATTTCTATTTTAGTTTATAGTTATATGATATTTTGTTTGTCTTTTGTGGGGATGAATAGGTGTGACTATGAATTCAAGAGGCAACATTCTTATTTATTGATAAGTGTATGTACCAGTCCCTGTGCTAAACATGTCACATACATGTGTAATTTAATTCATATAATTACCCTTTGAGCTCAGGATTATTATTTCTATATATAACAGGTGAGGAAGCTGAGGCTAGGGACAGGTAGTCTGACTTTCTCTTTTTCCTTCTCAGCTAGAAGCTGGCCACTCAGGCCGGCTGGAGAAGACGGAAGATCTGTGGCTAAAGGTTCGGAAAGACCATGCCCCGCGCCTGGCCCGCCTTTCTCTGGAGAGCCGATCTTTGCAGGATGTCTTGCTGCATGGTCAGTCCTTATGTTTTCGAAGTAAACTGAAGGGAAGTTTGGGGTCCTTGAGTCTTATAGCTAGCTTCCAAGGGTCCCACTGTCCCATGCTGCTTCCTTGCAGATCTCCCTAAGCACTTACTGATATGGTTTTGAATTCCCAAAGTCTGTCTGGCCTTGATATTTGTACAGTTTGAATATCATGACCAAAGTTTAAACTAACCAGCTTTAGAGTTTAGAGTGGTTTAGAGTGACTGCACTAGAATTTCTTCCCTTGGCATGATTATTGCTTCCTGGCCTCTGAGCAGAGTTGCCCAGTAAGCTGCCATCCCTTCTACCTTAGCTCTTTCTGTGCACCTTCTAGGTAAACCTAAACTGGGACAGGAACTGGGCCGGGGACAGTATGGTGTGGTATACCTGTGTGACAACTGGGGAGGACACTTCCCTTGTGCCCTCAAGTCAGTTGTCCCTCCCGATGAGAAGCACTGGAATGATCTGGCTTTGGAGTTTCACTATATGAGGTAGGTCCTGGTTTCATTCATCTTTTTGGGAAAATTCCAGAAAGGAAGCCTAAAGACTGAAGCAAGTTTTTTACCAAGAGCTAAAGTATGCTGTGTCTCTCCATACCTACGTTTCAGAACGTGCAGGCTAGGGCCGAGGATGTAGCTCAGCAGTACAGCACCTACTTGACAAGCCCTGTGTAGGCTAGTGTTTGTGGGACCAGCTCTCTTTAAGGCCATTATGGTCTTTGTGTCCTCTTTTCCTGCCATCTTCAGACTCCTTTCTTCCTGTGCTACTAAGGCTGGTGGTTTTTAGCTTCCATACTACTTTGCCCTGGGTGAAGCGGCCATTCTTTTTATGCAGAGTTTGTGCTGAGGGCCATTCCTTCTGGACCTGGACCAAGTGTAGCCTTAGGCTTATTTTTTCCTCATCCTAGCCTATCATCCTCACAGGTCTCTGCCAAAACATGAGCGGCTGGTGGACCTCCACGGGTCAGTCATTGACTACAGTTATGGCGGTGGCTCCAGCATCGCCGTGCTGCTCATCATGGAGCGGCTGCACCGGGACCTCTACACAGGGCTGAAGGTGAGGTGAGGCAAGTGGGATGTGAGAGCCAGCAGTCCCAGCACTTTCTTTCCGACCTTTTACCCTTTTCCACTTATTCAGAGCCTCTTGCTTCCATAAGCAGTTGTTGGAGTATCAGGCCTTATTACAATTATTTCCCAAAAAGTGTAACCTATTTATTGCCCCAGTATATATTGAGAATACTGCCTTTGGTCTCTCATGGTGGTGGTCAAAATCTAGACTCATTAGAAGAACAAAGAAAGCTTCCTATTCTTCTTTTCCTTCTTTTGTTTTCCCTGGAGGAAGTCAGTTTTGTTTATTCAACAAGTATTTTACTAGTGACTACTTTGTATTAAGCACCAGTAGGTGACAGCAAAAAAGTATAATTTTTAAAGAGAATTATAGTAATTGACTATTTCATGATGATGTGGAGTTTGAGTTTGACATGTGTACCTCAGTGGACAGTGATTGAGTTGAAACTTTGTACTCAATCTAGAGCAGTGCAGAATATTAAAAGAGGAGGCAAGTAGATAAGAAAGAGTTTAATGCGGGCATGGAGGGAGTCACCACAAGGAAGGCTGTGGCGGCTCTCCCTGCAGACAAGGGCAGGTTCTGCCTGATACAGGCTCTGATGGGGGAAGGGCCCTGGGGACTGATGTGAGCTGATTTATTTTGTGAGAGTGCAGGGAATTCAGTACATCTTTACATACATGAGCTTTGGCAAAGACTTTTGGTAGCAAGAAGCCATGGGGCTTCTGGGAAGAAGGAGCTAAGCGCCATGATGATTTAACATCGCACACCGCTGCCGTGATGAGTGGGCAAATCCCCGGCAGGGCCCTATCAGACAGAATGTGGACAGATGGAAAAAGAAGCCACAGGGGGAATGAGCAGCATAATACCAGCACATTCAAGGCCAGTAAAGACACTAAGCATGTTGAAGTACCTGCTTCTTTTAGAGACTGAGGGAATATCATGCTCAAAGAAATTAGTAAATTATACAAGACCCAACATGTTAAGAATTTCTACAAAATTCAAGTTTATTGTAGGCAAATAAGAAGCTTCATAATCTTTACATTCCAGAAGCCCTAATCAGGAGCAGAACAGACAGACATCACTTATATTGGCTTTGATTTTTTTTTAAATGACTTGAAATATGCAATTAAAAAACTGGGTGGAGGTGAAACCCTCAGTTGGATGTTGAGTTTCCCTTACCCAAAACAACCACCAAAAGGGAAATAGAGAAGTTTCTTTTGTCTCCACATCCCCAGGGCTGAGTACAAGAGAAAAGCTGACCTCAGTGTGTCTAGGTAGGTCCCGTCTCCCACATACCCCTTGTACAGGTTTATAAAGAGCTTCCAGAAGTAGGACAGAGAAAACAGAAATGCTCCCAGGAGGTGTGATGAAGGAGATTACTGTCCAAGTGATTTTCCCATTTTATCTCAGAGAAGTTAAGCTTAACAGTGTCTGATGCTTTTCCAAAGTATACTAAAGAACCCCATTAAGTCTTTTGGATAAGTGAAATGACATTTTCTAGGAATTCAAGAGACCCTAAATTAAAGTCCTATGAATAATTTTGGTATGTAAATGCATAAAACCAAACCTGGGCTAAGGAGGCCTGTCAGAGTTGAAGTAAATCTGCCTGAGGGACCTAAACACTCACTTTGAGCTTTGGCAGTTCCAGAGTTGTTTACGTGTTAGAAATGACCTCATGCTCCAGTCATGTAGTTGCACCTCTCTGTTACATCTGGGGATTGCCTAGCTGGCCGCAACTGTAGCCTGCAAGGGATTTTATCTGGCTTTGTGTTCCTTCTCTCTACTTTCCTGTTTTACCTGCTTCCCTCTTCCCCTTTTTTCCATGCATGTTCTGTCCTCACGTGCCCTGGTGAAGTCTTCTAGTCCCTCACAGAAGGAAGTCTCAGCTGGTTCAGGTGAGCTGGACTGGGATGTTACTCTGTGTGTGGTAAGTGAGCTCTTTGTCTCCCCAAGGCTGGACTGACCCTGGAGACGCGTTTGCAGATAGCAGTGGATGTGGTGGAGGGGATCCGCTTCCTGCATAGCCAGGGACTTGTTCATCGTGATATCAAACTGAAAAATGTGTTGGTAAGTAAGAGCTGTTTCCAAAACAGCCTGCTTCTGTGGGCTAAGTGGTCTTCTGTAGGTTGCATAGAAATGTAGTTTGGTTCTAGTAAAAGTCTAGGTGGAAAGTGGTAGAGCTCATAGCATATTGGATTGATGGGTGTTTAGACTTGAAGATTACAGAGGTGTTTCAGCATAAACCTACCTTATATTGTAAAGGTTTTCCCCTCTCCTATTGAATAGTTTTGAATCTTACAGAAAAGTTAAAAGAATTGTACAGTGAGAACCCATATACCTTTCTCCTAGTATGTTTACTTAACTTTCTTACTCAATTTCTCTCTATATATTCACATGCACACACACACACACACACACACACACACACACACACACTTTTTTTATTATGTGTATATGAAAGTAATTGCAGGTAAAATGTTTTTCTTAAATACTTTATCATTATCTCCTAAAAAGAAAGATAGTGTTCTATGTAAAGTGTCATTATCACATCCAAGAGAGTTAACATTAATATAATATTACTATTTAATATGCAATCTAGCCCAGCATGGTGGCTTATGCCTGGAATCCAAGCACTCTGGGAGGCTGAGGCAGAAAGATGGGAAGTTCAAGTCAAACTTGGGCAATTTAGTAGCTTAGTGAGTGCCTGTCTCAAAATATCTTTTTTTTTTTTTTTTTTTTTTTTGGTCTTTTTCCTTTTTATCGGTACCGGGGATCGAACTCACGACTGCCTGCTTGCAAGGCAGGTGCTTATGCCACTGAGCTAAATCCCCAGCCCCTGTCTCAAAATAAAAACAAAAAGGACTGGGATGTAGCTCAGCATGCAGGCCTTAAATTCAGTCCTCAGGGCCACACACACAGACGCACATAGAAAGCCTACATTAACTTGTTCTATCTAATCCCTCCTCCCCCATATATTCAGTTGCCTCCAAAATGGTCTGTTAATTTGATCCAGGATCTAGCCAAGGAAATTTTATTGTCATGCTTCTTCAGTGTCCTTTAATCTAGAGTAGTCTTTCTACCTGTTTTGGCATTTGTTACACTGATATTTTTGAGGAGTCCAGGTCTTTGTTATTGCTTAGGGTTTGGTCACAGATGCTGGATGAAGAGTTGAGTAAAGGTACCTTAAAAGGTAAGAAAGTCATGAGCTCATCAATTCTGTTACCTAAATTATAAAAAAATTTTTGATATAGTCTTCTTAAAGAAATTTTAGAGTATCATTAAGGTGTTTTGACATTATTTCAGTGACATAAAGATGAAAGCAGTTTGGAAGAAGGGAATGATGCCCCTAAAATTGTGGGCTGAAATTGAGTAGCTAAATGAAATAGATTTACTTCATGGATTTTTGGGGGGTTGTTTGTTTTTGTTTTTTGTGGTGCTGGGGATCAAGCCCAGAGCCTCACACAGGGATAGAGCTGCGCAGGTATTTATTCTTCACCGAGCTGCACTCCCAGCTCTGTCTTGGATCCTTAAGAAAGGAAACAACAGGAATTTCAGGAATCTCCTCAACTGACCAGTAGACCTCCATCTTCTAACCTGGGATCAAGAGAAAAACCAAGAGCTGAAAATTTTTTCTCTGTATACAGTATTTCTGTGGACCTTCACTTATTTATTCTCCTAAGATTTATGAAAATCCTGATACATGCCAAGCAGTATGCTAAGTGCCAGGAATACAAAGAGGCAGTACCAGCCTTCAGATTGCTTATGGAGAGGAGCATAGTAATGGGAAAGAATCTGGGGATAGGAAAGTTGGAGAAAGTTTATTCACCACAGTACTCTGAGTACCTATTTTGAATTTACGTATATAACTAAGAGCTGTGTGCAGGATCTGAAACAAGGTGACTGTCATCCTGTTTTGTTGGCAGCTGGACAAACAGAATCGTGCCAAGATCACTGACTTAGGATTCTGCAAGCCAGAGGCCATGATGTCAGGCAGCATTGTGGGGACACCAATCCATATGGCCCCTGAACTTTTCACAGGTACAGCAGGGGTGCAGGGAATGGGTTTAGGCAGGGCTCAGTACTCTCGTGCTGAGCACTATCTGTAGGTACAGACACTCTTGACAGGATGAAGCCAGAACAAGGAAATCTAAGGCAGATAGGGAGGCAAATGCACAGATAGAGGAATGAGAAAGACGTGCAAATGGGAGTCACAAAGCAGTCTTTTGGATGTCTCCCTGGATTACTATGCCATACTTGTCCAAATCAGCCCACTATTTGATCATAAAGAATTTTGAGTAATTCTTATCCAATAAAATTGTCCTCTGTCATTAAAGAATTTACAATTGATATAGGTACATTTTTAGAGTAAAGCAATCTGGAAGCAGCTTGTGGCAGTATGTGATTAGATGCTGAAGTAATGGCTATGTAATATATGAGGTGTTCAGCAAAAGTTGAAATGTTTGGCAGTTTTGTGGTAGAACAGGAATATTCCAGATCTGGAAAAATTGGTGTGTGGAAAGAAAACTTATAGTGTAGACTTTGAGGTGGGCAGTGTAGGCATGTTTTTTTATGTTCTGTTTTAATCCTTTCAATAATTCTGTGATGATATTGAACCACTTCTGTGTCCATTTCATGGATAGAGTTGAGACCAGGTAGGTGAAGTAACTCACTCCAAAAACACTGAGCTAGAAGGCAGTGGCTCCCGGATCTGAATCTAGATCTTTGTGTCTCCAGAGTCCAAGTACTTGTAATGAAGGAAAGAAAGGGGCTGGAGAAGGGAAATACTGAGAAAAACTGCAGAATACAAGTAAACATGACCAGAAAAAAAAATCCTACTGGGGCATAGTATCAAACAAGGTTGGAGATAAATACATTGAGCTTGTAGAGGAGTTAGCTTTACTGTTCAAAAAGTCAGGAGCTATTGAGCTTTTTGCTCAGAGTAGAGGTGAAAAGAATATGTTTATGGAACATTAGCTCAGTGGGAATTTAAGCAACAAGATACCAATGGAAGGAGACCAGTTAGGTACTGCCTGTCCCCATGATTAGTGTGGTGTTAATGCTCACACAAAAGAGTGAGTTGAGATCAATTCAGAGGAGGAATAAGTAAGATTTTATTAACTTCCTGAGTGATGACTACAGAGAAATAATTAAAAGATGACTATAAATTTATGAGTCTGAGTGGTTGGGGAATGGTTGTACTTTGCCAAGGAAGACATAAGGGTAATGACAGGTCAATTATGAGTATTTGTACCAGCTAAAATTATCAATATGTTGGAATTTGTTTCATTTTGTACATGTCTTCCCCTGACTCTTTATTAAGTAATATACTTACATAAACATTAAGAGGTAGGTAGACAACTGTTAATCTGTCCATATCTGAACCAAGTAGACAAGCATCAGTTTTTTTCCTCTAGATTTATGTTGTTTTTGTTTTTTAAATTTCTGTTGCCATTGTTACTCAATTTTAGCTGTTATATTTAAAGTCCTTTGATTATTTCTATTGCAGTTCACTTTGTTATCAGAATAATCTTTCTAAAATATTATAGTTGCTGGGTGTAGTGACACATGGCTGTAATCCCAGCCACTTGGGAGTCTGAGGCAGGAGGATTGCAAGTTTAAGTCTGGGCAACTCAGTAGTTCTTGTCTCAAAAATTAAAAAGGGTTGGAGATGTAGCTCAACCATCTATCCCCTGGGACCATATGTAGTACTATAAAAAAATAAAATAAGACAAATAAACTAAGTTAAAACAGGTTACCTCTTTCTGTAAAACATGTGATTTCCGGCTGCCCATTGGATCCAGACTCTCTCTCTCTCTCTGCCTTCAAAAATTGTTAGATACTGGTTCCCACGTATTCCACCATTACCCTATATTTTCCCAATGTGACCTAATATTAATCATGTTGATGTCCATGAAGCCAAAAGGCATGACTCCTCCTCCTCCTTTGTCAAGTTCTGTTCTGGATGCTCTTTGTGTTTAACTTTGACCTGTCATTACCATAGTGTTCTGTTGTGAAATGGGATTATAAGTGTGCCCTGCTCCATAGCAAGGCTGTTATGAAAGATAGTGGATGTTAAAAGCCTTAAAAGAAAACATGTAATGCCTTGCAGGTGGTGTGTGGTGCGATGTTGCTGCCTTTCTTTCCTTGGCTCACTCTTTCTCATCTCTTCTTGCCACAGGGAAGTATGACAATTCCGTGGATGTCTATGCTTTTGGGATTCTTTTCTGGTACATCTGTTCAGGCTCTGTCAAGCTTCCTGAAGCATTTGAGAGGTGCGCGAGCAAAGACCACCTCTGGAACAATGTTCGGAAAGGTAAGAGCCACAAGCCTACTCCATCCTGACTCCTCTGGTGAGAGCAGATTGAGCCCAGACACTACAGCTGTCACCCTCTGGCCAGTCCACAGCTGGACCACATGTACCCTTAAACCATCATGGGATCCCAAAATTTTTAAGTCAAAATTTGCTTCCAGGCAACACTGTACTGAACTATCTCAGAACTATCTCAGCTTTCTTTTTCTTTAAACTTTCCCGTTCTTGAGCTATCTATGCCAGTGCATTCCAGTTTTCCATCACCATTCTTCTCAGGTTCTAACCTAGATATGTGCAGTGGAAGCCAAAGTTTGCAGATCCTGTGCCCCAGCTTGTATGATTAGCTGTTCATTTTGGGCCTGTTTTTGTTTTTGGTTTTTTTGGTGGTAGTGGTACTGGGAATTGAACCCAGAGCCTTCACACTGAGCTATATCCCCAACGCTTTTTTATTTTTTGAGAGAAGGTCTTGCAAAGTCACTGAATTGCCCAGGTTAAACTCAAATGTTTAATGCTCCTGCCTCAGCCTCCAAGAGTGCTGGGATTACAGGTGCCACCATGCCCTCCTCATTCACTGGTTTTACTTTGTTTTCCTTTCTCTAGGGGTCCGCCCAGAACGTCTGTCTGTATTTGATGAAGAGTGCTGGCAGTTGATGGAAGCCTGTTGGGATGGTGACCCCTCTAAGAGGCCTCTCTTGGGCATTGTCCAGCCCATGCTCTGGGGCATCATGGACCGTCTCCTCAAGTCAAATTTTGAGCAGCCAAATAGAGGACTAGATGATTCTATTTGAAAGCAAAAACCTTTCTTCTCCACTATTTCTTTCTCCTCACCTTTTCGCCATGGGGAGAATTTGACATTTATTCATTATAGGGAGCTCCTAAGGGACTTGGTGCTTGCTGGGCAACAAAGAGCTGATCATACAAGCTGGGGCACAGGATATGCAAACTTTGGCTTCCATGCCAGACAGAGATGGCTCCTAGGCAGGGAGGAGCTGGATGGTGCTGAGCACTTGGGGCAGTTCACTGATGCTCCACACTACCCTTTCAGGAGAAAGATTATCTGAGATGTGCAGAAGCGGAACATGGGATCTTCTGGCCTCAAAACAGAAAAGGAGGCAAATGTTACCATTGTCTGTTCACTGTGTTACTTTTCTAAGACAAGAAGTAGGGCACTATAGTGGCAGTAGTATTAAAAACATCATCTTCATTATGTCAGCTCCAGCTACAAATAGTTTGATTCTATCCAGTGATGGGGACCACTTAGAAAATTCAGGTTCTATGAACATAGGGGCAAAAAAGAAAACATTGTGGTTGCCTGGTTCCTGCTGTCTGTAACCAGATCTCAGGTTGTCAGTGAAGAAGCTAGAGACAAGGCTGTCTGTTCCTCACTGTGCCAGTGTGTTTACATTTATAGGGCCACACTTCCCTGATTTCTAGGGGAGGGATTTACTGTTACATCACCAAAAAGCAAAAAAAAAAAAAAAAAAAATCAAAAAAACATGCATATGTATGTATATATGTATATAAGTTGTTGAATTTGAGTTACTGCTAACCCCAGAACAGAATCTGTTCTGCCTGAGGGAAGAACAGCCCACAGCCCTTAGCTCTCTGCTGGTCTTAGGTGAGAGAGCTCTAGACTCCGGAACACATGGTACTCAGGAGTGAGCATCTGAGCGGAACCGACCCAGTGTGAAACCTGTGGGTGAGGCCAGAGAGGAGGCAAGGAGCATGACTACAGCCTGCGTACAAACCTCCTAAAGAGTACTGGGTGATTTTCATAGAAACTCTTTTGTGTTTGAAACTAACACACTAATGTTTTTAAAGCTTAACCAATGGTTAAAAGGTCAATACTTATTCTATACCTTCCTTTTACCTTATTTTAAATATACTCTGTCAGAAGAAAAAAGAACCAGACACCTCCTCCCCTGCCAAAAAAAGACTAGTTTTGTGCATTGGCATCTGGGAAGCACCCAGATGTCTGAGGAGAGAAACTGACTCCTGGGCAAGGAAGGGGAGCATCTGAAACATTGGTGCATCTCAGGTCTTGATTTCAAGCCTTTCTCCACAAAGCCATCCAGAGCTATAGAAACACAGGTCAGTGAAGGAATAGACGTGAAAGTGGGCAGCCTCTGTGCATCTGTCCAATCTCAAGGGCTGTGGGTGGGCCCTCTGTTCAGCTCCAGTGTGTCAGTAGGTCCCTGAGTAGGTGTTGAAGATTAGTGCTGGGGTTTCTTAGGGTGGTTTGTAACTGAATGACCAACCCTTACATATTAACAATATAATATAAGCAGAGAGTGTAATACATTTTTATATAACTTTTAAAATTCAGCTTTAAAACTTCAGCCATCCTAAGCTCTGATCATGATACGTTTGAGCATAATAGCAGTCTCAGTACTTGTAGCCCTTCAGGAAGTTCATATAATGCTATATACCTTTTTACATTCAAATGATAAAGCCAGTGACTGACTGGTGTCTTTGGGGCATTGGCTCCCACTTCATTTTGGGAGAATGGTCAGCGTATCTCTTAGGATCCACACCTACATAGCTATACTTCAGGCATTGTATTCTCCTTGGTATTAACTGGTTGCCCTTCTGGGGATGATTATGGGACTCCAAGAAGCAACATGTTAAGAAGTAGTCTCTGCTTGCTAAACAATCATTATACATCCCTTCTATATGAAATTTAAAGAAAAGTCTTACATAGTTAGTTCTTTTTTCCAGTCCATGCTCTTAATTCTAGTATAATCAGGAGTCTGTGTATCCATTGTGAAGCCCACATTCTTAATGTTGTTTGGAAGTCTTAGCTCAGACTCCCATTTACATATGGAAAGTTAAATTTTTTTCCAACTAGAGTTCTTCTTCAGTTCATTGCCTGTGGCTGAGTCCACTTGCAGATACTAGTTTTCTAGCACATTGCCTACATTTTTTCCTAGTGGAAAGAGCAAGGAAACTAATATAAGGTAAGGAGATGAATAGTTATTTTCATTATAAAAAAGTATTCTGAGCAAAGGTGCAAGATATGCCTGGAAGTGTCCAGGCCAACCAAAGTCCACATAAGGATATTTGGGCTGTTATTTAAATACTCAGCAGGCTGAGTTGCAGGAATACATACCCACATGTGTATAATGTATGTGTACTTTGTTGTATAACATTGTTAGCTAATTTTGGGTTTTTTGTTCCTTGGCACCCATTATTATTAAAATTATGGAATGCCATGAAAAGTACTGTATTGTGTACTACTTAAGAAGACACTAGATAGTCTGAGAAGTGTGGCAGTACTTGGGCAGGACCGGGTACATCACAGCCAGTATCATAAGGCTCTTACCTCCCAGCTTTTGTTGGTTGTGTTCCCAAGTGGTGAGGTGAGGTGAGGTGAGGTGAGATTGTGGCTGAGGGAGGAAGAAGGCTGACCTGAAAAATTACCCATTCTATGTTTAATCCTTCTAAAAATCTTAATGAAGGCAATTGACCCTCCCAAATGATCACCTGGCCTTTTTTCATGAGCTTGAAGTCTGGTCACTCATTTGGCTTCATATCCAAGTGAGAGGCCTTCCTGCAGAGCAATCAGAAGAAACTGTGGTAAAGCTTGGGCGCCTGGACTAGTGAGCCTGTGCCTAGAGCTTGCAGCAGTGCAGGTGAGCAATGCCGGGTCAGAGGAGGTGCCAACAGATGGACGCTGCTCCCTGCTCCCTGCTCCCTGCTCCCTGCTCCACTGCAGAGTGGATCCTTGACTGAGCAAGCCTTCCACAGCTCTGGGCAGGAGGACTTTACTGTTGTTCTCAGACCAAAGAGAGTCCTGTCTGACTCCATCTCCTTTAAGGGGACAGAGTCTAGGAAGCAGCTGCTCATATTTTATTTTTTAAACACTAAAACTCAAAGAAGTAGTAGGGAAAAGATATGTTACTACCACTGATAGAAATAGGAGAATGGTAGAAATCTTGAGCAGTATCTGCCGACTCCCAAATGGACTTCGCTTCAGCTGCCAAATGGCTTGGAGGACTGAAGGCAGTGCAGTGGTAGCGTGCAGCTTTGCCTGTACTTGGCCTTGGCTTCCGTCCCTAGTACCAAAAAACCCAAAACAAAACAGGAGGAAGAAAATGTTTCTCCTGATAAGAGAATGACTGGATTGTCAGGGCTGGGAAGTGACAGCTACACCAAATGACACTATTTTGTAGCTTACTATTTAACATTGAAAAGCCAGGCAGTGGGTGTGTGTGTGATTACAGCAGTACCTTGAGATACTGAGGCACCCTCTGGCCTTAATTTGCAGAGATGCCATGGTTGGTGTTCTACTGGGCCAATCAGGAAGCCTCTGAAGTCCTCACTGCAACAGAGCAGGATCAACAGCCCTGGAAATGTCCATTGCCAAAGAGGAGCTGCTTTCTTTGAGCTTTTGAAGCTTGCCTTCTAGATTTCCTGGATCAAATAACTCATTTTTCTTAAAAAAAAAAAAAAGGTGTATTCTTCAAATATAGGAGTGGTGTAGGGTAGAACTAGCTTGATAAAGAGGATAAGAGAAGAGTGGCCTTGAGGTATTTAATCACAAACTCCCCCAGAGGTTTCAGATAGCACTATTGTTCTTAATTGTTGTTTCATGTTTAACTTCTAATTGTTAACACCTAGTCCAGCTGAGGTGATAGCACAGACAGTGTGAGAGCACCTGTCACTGGGAGGCCAGCTTGCTAAGAAAAGTGGTCACCAAAAGCTTATTGTCTTTGCCTTTATGTAATGTTTTTGTTTGTGTTAAATGACTAATGTTTGTTACAGTGTTAAAAGTGTAACATACTAAGTGTGTAGAATAAAAGTGCAATAACAAAAAAAATACTTGGGCACAAACTCTATGCTCCCTCCTTCCTTGTGCTACCTGGCTCTGTCCATATTGTTACAGGAGGACCATGTTAATTGTGTATTTTTAAGAGATGCAACTATGGGTTGTCTTTGCTTAGCATAATTTTGAATGGGTGGGGTTTGTTTTTTATAGAGTATTCTATATAATTGTTAGGATGCACAAATACAGGATGTGCTGTATAATAAAGATCACATTAACGTTTTAATTCTACCTCTGTTTGGCTTTGACTTTCCTTTACTACCTGTGTTACCAGGATGCCCCCTAATTCATGCTATTTTCACTGTGACCTGGAGTCAGATGCCTTTCAGTTTGCCATAGGGGAGACTGGTAAAACTGTTGCTCCCTAGCAAGGTCTTCTCCAGTCCTTATAAATGGTTTGCCTTTTTTTTTTTTTTTCAACAGGACTGGGGATCACACTCACGGCCTTGGTACTGAGCTACATCTCCAGCCCTCATTTATTTTTGAGGCAGGGTTTCACTAAGTGGGTAAGTTTGTCAGGTTGGGCTTAAATATATTATCTTCCTGCCTCAGCCTGCTCAAGTGTTGGGTTTCTAGGTATGCACCATCATCTAGCGCCACCGATCCTTTAAACTGGGTATACCTTATATACTACCACCAGGGAGTGGAGCAGGGAAATGAGAGAAGAGATTTTGGGGAAAAGGGAACAAAGTGGGATGACAGCATTTATTTCACAGCCTATCCTGAATGTATCCTTTTCTCCAACTTGTTTTTAACATGAACTTGGAGCATTCCAAGTTCATATAAGAACCAGCTATTCTCTTACACTGAGAGTTTGGGACTGCAATCTATACACCAGCCTATCTGCAGTTAGAATATTTTGAATCTTTGGGCTTGCCCAGCAGATCACATTTGCTGGTTTAGCAGTGTGTGATAGACCCCGGCATCAGGCAGCTGTGTCTGGTGCCGAGGGAGGCCAGTGTGCAGAGGGCTCTTCTGTGGGCTGTGTTTATTTGGGTTTGTTTTAATGTACCTCCTACACTTTGGGCTTGTGTTGCTGTGTCACTTGTGCTCTATTTGTGATGTGATTGGAACTCAAGGCTCGCCAGGAGATGGAGGCACATCCTACAAAGGTGGTGTGTTTGTTTCTTAAGGGGAAAGCTAAAGTTGAGTCCAAGGGTTCTCAGCTTCCATCTCCACAGCAGTCCTGTGATGCAGGGCAGCCCTGTATCATGGCTTGTGTTTAGACGTCTCCTCAAAGCCTCATGCAGTCATAGGGGGAGCTTTTCAGAGGTGGCTGGCATCATACACTTATGCTGAGTTGGCGATTACTAAATTAGTCCACTGATTGGTTTGGCATAGTTTTGAGTGTGCATAATGAAAAGGCCCACTCTGGGTGTGAGTGCTGCCTGCCCTAAGGATGTATGGCTTAGATAAGGAAGAGTCAGAAAGAGGACTGTTATCATCTCTTGTCTACTGCTTTGCTGCTTTCTGCCAGCCATGAACAGTTTCTCCTCTGTGATGCTATGCCACCCTGACTTGGAACTAGCCAATTATGGACTGAACCTTCTACAAACTGTGAGCTGAAATAAACTTTTCCTCCTTTAACTTGGGTGTTGGATATTTTGTCTCAGCAATGAGAAAGAGTAATTTAGATCCTTATAAGAGCTTGTGAAACTCCCCTGACTCAAGCTGTTTTTCACAGTTAAACTTGCTATCTTCTATAGTCCTTGAAACATTAGCCAAACTTAATAAGGCAAGAGAAAGAAAAAGAAATATATATATATATATATATATATATATGGACAAAGTTAAAGTATTATTTGCAGATGACTTGATCCCTTATAAGACCCCAAAAAACTCTTAAAAGACCCCTAGAATAACCAAACTCAGCACTGTAGCCTGATACAAAATCCAACAATCAATAACATTTCTATACACTAATAAATAATTCACTGAAAAACCAATTAGGAAAACAATACCATTCACAATAGTAGCAAAAAATTTAAATACTTAGGTATACAAAGTTCCCAGCTTATGAACAAGTTCTGGGAGAACATTTGTAAGTTGGATTCATTCATAATCCAACAAAGTGAGTCTTATATAGTACACCTCTGAAAGTTTGCAACTCAAATATTCAAAAGTCAAGGATTCACTGTATTAAGAAAGCAAAAGACTTTTACAATGAAAATTGCATCAGACGAGAAATCAATGAGGACATCAGAAAATTGCAAAGTATCTTCTGTTCCTGGATAGGCAGAACAAATATATAGTCAAAATAACTATACTTCTAAACTGATACACAGATTTAATGCAATTCCTATCAAAATACTGACATCATGTCTCACAGAGTTAGAGAAAACAATTGTAAAATTTATATGGAATTAGAAGAGACCCAAAATAGCAAAAGAAATCTTGTTAACAAAAGCAAAACAGATGGCATCACGGTCCCAGGCCTGAAATTATTTGATAAAGCTACAGTGACTAAAATAGTATGGTTCTAGTGTAAAAGCAGACTTGTAGGTTAGTGGAACAGAACAGAAACAACCCCAGGCACTTACAGCTGTTTGATCTTTGACAGAGAAACCAAAAAACATACACTGGAGAAAAGACAGCCTCCTTAGTAAATGGTACTGGGAAAATTGGATATCCACATGCAGAAAATTATGTCTGGATCTACATATCTCACAATGTACTACACTAAAATAAAAATGAATTGAAGACCTAAATATTAAACAGAAACAATCTGCTAGAAGATAAAATAGGTACAACTCTTTTACAACATAGGTGTTGGCAAGGATTTTCTGAACAGGACCCCTACAGCACAAGAAATAACACATATAATTGACAAATGGGATCACAGAGATCGCCCTCCCTGTGAGTTAGCAGAAGCCTTGCTGGGTCTAGGAGGACCCCACCAAGTAGCCAGTTCACCCTCCCAGTAGGCTGCACAAACCATGTGGGCGGGGCCCAGGAAGAAAGAAGCCAGATAATCCTCTCTGTAAACCTGGCCATGTGCAGTTGAGAATCAAGAACTGCTCCCTAGCCCCAAGCTATCAGCTGGTTAGAAGGACAGGCTGAATTGATGAGACAATCTACAGAATAGGGAGAATGTTCGCTAGCTATTTTACAGAGGGCTAATATCAAGAATATATAAAGAACTAAAAAAATTAGACCCCACCCAAAATAAAAGACTCAACTAAAAAATGGGCAACCAAATGAGTAGATGCTTTTCAGAAGTACAAATGGCCAATAAACACCATACACACAAAAAAATGCTCATCATTGCTGACTATTGAAGAAATGAAAATTAAAATTACACTGAGACATGGTCTTATCCCAGAAAGAATGGTTATTATAAAAAAAATCTAATAACAACAAAGTCTGGCAAGGATGTTGGAAATTCTTTTACACTGTTAGTAGAAATGTAAAGTCATATCAGCACTATGGAAATTAGTGTAGAGAAGCCTCAAAAAAACTAGAAGTAGAAATTCCACTTGATCCAGCTATCCCTCTCTTAAAATCATCATATTGAGGGACACATGCATACCCATGATTACAGCAGCACAACTTATAATAGCTAGATCTTGGAAATAGCATTTATGTCTAACAATGACTTGAGGCAACTGTAGGTAAATGAAAGTAACTTGAGAATATAATGTTAAGTCAAGTGAGTCAGGGACATGAGCTCAAATATCACATGGTTTCTCTTAGATGAGAAACACTATAAATAAACAGCAAAATAGAAGATAAATAGAAAGTAGGGAGAAGTTCAAATACTTCTCTAAGTTACACGTTCCATTGTTTTAAAAATATTTCAATATATATTCTAATTTGTTTCATTTTTACTAATAGTTTTTCTTAGTTCATTGAAGAAAGTTTGTGTTCTTATCTGTTTATTTCTTTTTTGTAAGAATTTTTTGGTTTATGTCTTTCCTCTGAGTATTTTGAAGATAATGATACAAAGTATAATAACTAGTGTTATTCTCTTTTTATTTGATTATGAACTTTTTTTCATAAAATAAAAAGTTAAGACTCCTGGGAGTTGGGAATATAGCTCAGTGGTACCATGCCTGCTAGCAAGTGCAAGGTCCTGAGTTCAATTTCTGGTACCAAAAAAAGACTTCCTACAACTATAAAACCATAAGTTATAGGACAGGGAAGACTACAATAAAGTATTAACAAAATACTTCCACAAAAATGAAAAAAAAAAAAAAAAAAAAAAAGAACAACCCAGCACACCCCTCAGCAGGCATGTTCTTTGGGTAAGGCAACTTGGGTGGCCTTTCTAATCTTATGTTTGGGAAAGGCTTAGAGGGCAGAGGCCACCAGGTTTACAAACATTATTAAATTCAACTTCAAATTTTTTATCTTTAGCCAAATTCTGAGGACTCTACAAAATGCCATACAAATAGCTACGTTTCAAAACAGTGCAGCTATCATGTGGGCCATGTACTCCTGAGGCCTCATCTTGACAAAATACCATGTACCCAAAGCTACAGGAGGAAAGGTGTTTTGGTTTGGGTCACAGTTTGTAGCGGTTTCAGTTCAAAATTGGCTGGCTCCAAGGCAGAGTAGCATGGCAGAGGGGCATGGCAAAGAAGAAACAGTCCATGGCAGGGTAGGTAGGAAACATATTCTCCTTTATATTCCATAAAGGCTACACACCTACTGGTTGGTGCCACCAACACACTGGGTGAGACTTCCCATTACCCACACCCTGAACAACAATGCTAAACAAATCAGTGGACTAATCAGTTATCAGACCTTTGATTTGTATTCACACACCCTTAATTTACATTAACACACCCTAGATCCAGACACTGGATAGGTAGAAAAGTTTCATTTATGAGTGTATGAGGTTTTGGGGGGACATCTAGATACAAGCCATAACAGGCCTCTTTGAGCTCTTCTAGGAATAGCTTGTTTCTTAGATATCCAGAAGACAGCATTTCAAATCAGTGGAAAAAATGAACTACTTAATAAAACTGGCTATCAACTTGTCTTTGTACCTGTTTCTATAATAGTACCACAACCTGAGTGATTCATAAATAATATAAACATTTCTCATGGTCTTGGAGGCTAGTGCAAGGTACTATAGCAGAAAACATATCCCCCTCCAGCTATATATTTCCCAGTTAGTTGCCCAGACAACTTCCAGTTCACTTCAGTTCCCATTACAGTTCTGTTACTTCTGTTTCCCAGAAACTGCCAGTCACTATGAAGCATATGTAAGAACCAATCCCTAACTG